ACAATCTACGTGTTTAATAAAGTTTAGCCCATAATTTAGAGTAGCTTTCATTAGGGGAGTAACATTTTGACTCAAAAAAATTTAAAATACAAAAAAAAAAAAAAACCAAAACAACAACAACAAGAGCAACACCCAGATACAGAATGTATTATACTGTGGTAACAAACGAGGGAGACTTTTGCCCCAAGCTATAGCAGATCTCCGTAAAAGTGAACCATAAAGAAAGAAGAGTGTTCTTCCTTCCGACTTAGTCTCAAAGGTTTACACTAGAACGTCAAAGTTGACACTTCCAAGAGTCACAACAGATGCTGTGAAATGGCGGCCTCGGTGGTGGTACTTGATAAAAGATGGGTTGCGTAGGAGAGTCACAGCCAGGAACCAGCAGTTGACAGCCTTTTGAGACATGCGCGGCTGATGGGGCTCCCGACTAAAGCCTGAAAGACAAAGAGAGAGATTTGGACGAGGGACTTTGTCGAGTATTCAAGTTAATTACCCTTCAAAAAATTAGTTCATGACAACAAAGGAATCATAGCAATAGAGAAAATAGGCCAAAAGAAAGAAAGAACGGAATGCTTAAGCACTTCAGACTCAAGGTGAAAAAGAGGTTACACATGTGGGGATGTTTCTTTTTCTCCTCGTGAAAGGCTTAAAACTGTTCTATATCACCCCGAATACAATCGTTTTTTAAAGGTTGGATTGAAAAGTAACTGTCTGTGAGATACGTTTTAGTTGTTAAAAAAACGCTGCAAAGTGGCAAAGAAGAAAGGCTAACTTTCAATATTCCCGCGTGACCACAGAATGGATATCAAATGAATAGTAACCAACCGAACATAGCTCATATCGTAAGTTTCTTCTCAATAGTACCCATTTTTTTTTATCAAATCTGACTTGGGGAATGGGTACGTTTTCTGCCAAATTTTCCACGATTTCACATTACTAACGACGCTTAACAAAAGAAAATTATGTATTTCTTGCCCTCCGTGAAAAGATTATTTCTAGTGTTCTGATTGGTTGCTGAGTGCCGGTTGCCAGTGCATAAACAGCGCTGTCTTTTGATCTTATCAGGGAAACAAATGTGCCTATTGTCTCTAAGCTACAGTTGCCCATTCGTCTGTTCGCCCATTCGTGCGTACGCTCATCAGAATCATCCCAGCCGAATCATGATTCTACAGGCAGTTTACTTACGGTCTTGCGGGGGCTGGTGATCTTCTTTTTTTTTTTTTCTGTCAATAAGCAACTGACAGAACACTAGCATCACGGGATGATTCACCCCGCTTGAGAGTTGCGAATATAAGGCATCCTTATAAAACCCTTTCGCACGAGTTAGAATTTAATGCAAATTATGATCTCTGATAGCTTTTTCATGGCGTTTGTCTCCTTTTTTTCCGTCATAGACGGACCAATAGACAAAAAGCAGCCCGCAAAAGATGTAGAGCATTGTTTTTCTTAATATAATCGAGAAACTTCACGGTATTAAAATACTTTTTATAATTCCAATTTTATGAAGAAGCAGCTCAAAAATAATTGATGTTAAGAATGGTTATTTCTTTATTAGCTCCGCTAAATGAAAGTTGTCTTAAATCAACTTCTGTTTTATCAACCGGCAGCTCAAGCTAGCATGCCATCTATTCGTATGCATAAACGGAAATTATTATTGTTTATGCTGCCCTTTCAGTTGGTGGATGTAATTATTTCTTAGGCCTTCAACTTTTTTGGACTAAGTCACTCATATGTTAATTACATGTATTATTATTTTTACAGCACGGCAAACTCCGAGTCAAAGGATTCCTTCTCGGTTTTCTTAGATCGTGAGTTCGATGTGAGTTTTCGTAAAGTTGATCGTTAATTGATCAGAAAACCAACGGAGGCTAACGGCCATAGTTTAGTGTTCAGCCTACAAAACAACTCTCCCATGCAAAAGCGTCATGCAGACCATCTCTTTTGTGTCCAGATGTTTGATATCCAACATTTTAGAAGGAGCGGTGGGGTCAAAAGGCCTGAGTGGGAGACGTTCCTTGGTCATAGTGATGTGCCCTGTGGGCCAGACATTGTACTCTCAAGTATCTCTCTGTGCTCATGGAATAATTGATTATTTATTCTGGAATATCCAATAGTCTTAGCTGCAATAAAGTTAGTCAATCGAAGCTTGAAACGTTTTGACATATCGCATTTGGGCGGTGTAAAGAGAAATGTACTTGTACATTCAAGAATATTCCTTTTTTTATTACTTCTTCCGCCTAAATCGTACGCTTCTTCATCCATGCTTATTTATAAATAGCTATGACGTAGTATAGCCTGTTGTGAACCGAGTTAGGCACATCTACATCCTCAACTCCTTCTTTCACTGGTTGAAATTTCTCTTCAATGCTAGCCTCTCCGTTGTAATGATATTTGAAAGCCAGGCCCTTGGAAATATTCCGCATTTCTATCGCTGAGCTTTTTCCTTTAAATTGTCGTCTCTGTGTAAAAGTTCTTTAATCGCTGTTTGATGAAGTTTGCGCAAGAGATTATAATATAACATCTCCGGCTAGTGTCGCCTCTATTGAATTCCAAATTATTCGATGTATTTTCGATTCAAAATGGTACTCCTTATCTTAGCGATGCGGAAAAAAAACTGGCAAATGTAACTGATCAAAAACAACCCAATCATAAGGGTTTTTCTGTCCTTTTTAAATTAGCTGTTTATTTATTTAACCATTTGCGTATATATCTATTTGTTCATTAAGCAACAACTTTGAATGTCAACTTAATTGCGTCTCGGGAAATCGGTTTGGTGAGTTAAACGGGGGATGTCGTTAAAAGTTATTTGTTTATTTAAAAGTGTAATGTCGGTGTCATTTTCCTGTTTGAACCATGATATGGCTTTGAACGTCAACTTTAGCTGCTACTGCTATGGGCATTTTTTTGTTACGGTACAATTTAACCGACAAAAAGAACACTAGTAAACAACTTTAATATTCCGACTAAGGAGCGACTCTTAAAGGAAGTACAGTTTTTATGCTGAATAAACTTATTTAAGCCCATTGCAAATTACATCTTAGCTCACCACTGACACAATCTCACAGTTGTCTCCCCAGTTCCTCGAAATTAACAATCTTCCACAATAGCTCTCTTTCATTATAACTTTCTGAAAAATCAGTCACTCCCGACAACAACAAGCTTGAGTCCTTTTGTACAAAGTGTTCCAGATAATTCCAGAAGCTTACAAGAACCATTTTGGTGGTGTTACACCATAGCTACGCAACCTAATAAAATTTTGCAGAAAGTTCCTTTTTATGCATGTCAACAGGACTACGTATTCTAGAAATTTCTAGAAACTAATGGTTTCAGGACTATCCATAGCTTATAGTTAAAAGTAATAACAGTGTTTGATAAGAAGTTTATAAACTAAGTAAGTGAAACAAAGCAGTCATCAGCATACGGAGCCATTAGGAATTTCGATTATTCCTGCCTGCAAATATACGATCACCTAGAAAATAAACTTATTATCTTAAAAGTGATAGGTTATAAAGACAACTAGTTGAATGCTTAAACAATAATGAAGACAAAGACCTCTTTTTACTTGGAGATCGTAACTCAGACCGATCGTAACCGACTTATTTCTGTTAACTAAGTGATTGTTCTAAGTATTTGGTTGTTATTTCCGGTTGGCTGAATCCGGTTATTTAACTTAAGTACAAGTTCGATTCAAATTCAGCAAAAGACTGCAATTAAATTGCCCATACATTCCAAACCTCATTTGGATTGACCTGTGGGCTCTTCCTTGTGGAGTTGTCTTTTATAGAAGATGGAAAAACGATGTTCATCTTTCTTTTGAATCGCTCTCTGATCTGCAGATAGACGAGCAACGCGAAATATGGTTCTTAGCACTCGCAAATTTATTGAAACTCTAAAACTTGATGATATAAAGTTAATAATTAGTTCAATCTTTTTTTCTTACCTGAGTGTTTCGCACACAGTGTAGAGCGAAAATCAGGAAACCCTGCAGCATAAAAATGATTTCAAGATCATTAATATTTACAATATGCAAACAAGTTAGTCAAATATCTATTAAGATTTCCAAGAAGGAAGGAAGATTACACATCTTATAATTGAAAAAGAAGTCTGTCTTCTCTTGCATAGTTAACACCTTTTTGTTTTAAAAATTCCAAAACAATATAATCTGACCATCCTAATGGTGTCTCAGTTGGTCAGAAAGTAAAATAAATAATAGAGATTAATGACTTTTTACAGTTACCATCGAACACTGACCTGAGTAGAGTTAAGTATGGTGAAGATGTAAGCGAAAGCTTTATGTACAGGCGAGAGGAGACCGAATAGCCACGTGACACCCAGCTGGGGAATCATCACCGCGCATGTTTTGATGCCAAGACTAGGAGTTAGAAAAAAACATTCTTTTACTTTCCTTTGAGAATGAATTTTCATTGTTAGATATGTTGATGCCTTACTGATTAAGGAATGAGAAAGCTAGGCAAATATAGCGCCACAGGAGGGCATGGCAATGTCTTCCACTATTTTTTAAGTTTTATGCTGTGATTCTCACCGTATTTGCTGAAAATGGTGGTCTGCCCCTGTTGGCTGCAACATATTGGTCATCTCCCTTATTACACGTAGGAGTATCAAAATGTTGAGCTAAAATATACAAAAATCAAAAGTGATTATTTAGATATGGAAGTCGAATAGCCAAAGCAGGGGAGGATCTTTGCCAAGGAAGTTACTAATTCGGTAACAAGCGTGGGATGAAGAGTAATTCTCTGGGAATAGAGCCCCTAACCGGGGAACCAAGATTAGGAGCTTCGATCCTCTGCCAATGAGCAAAGGAAATCGCGCACAAAAGTGCCTAAACTGAAAGAACCACGCCAAGCATAGCCTCATGTTAAATTATATAAATTCAATAAATCCTACTCTTCCCGCTCCTTTCATATTTTTCATCTTATTTTTGTTTTGTTTTGTTTTTTTTGTTTATGAGTTCTGTTTGCGTTGAAGGAAGGGGGAGAAGTTTTTTTTTCATACTATGTAGTAAAAGTTGGAGAATTTATGAAGCTATCTTATGCCTGTGAGGACATTGTCTCCACAAGTTTTTCTCGCTATTGAAGACCATCATTAGGTTAAAATTGACCAGCATCCCCACAAACAGCGGCTACGTCCAAAGCTTTTTGTGAGTAAATAGGAAAAAAGAAAATGGTAAATATTGTCTTGAGTCATATCATAAATACTTAATTCGTTTTACAGAGCAGAGGAAAAAATCTTTAGCAGCAATTAGTCCAAGGTATACCAAACACAGTCACCAACACTAATCATTAACTCACAACTTCAATAAAAGCCACAAAGGCGACGAATATCCAGATCAGGTTGTTAGTCGAGGAAAGCCAGCAACTAAACTCGAGGATGTGAAACGCAAGAAAGAAACACAAATTGTCAGAAAATAAAATGATACCGATTTCAAACTATATCCAAAAACAAAACAAAGATTTAAATACAACAAATTAAAAGGAGAAGAGCAAGAAGAAACCCTTGAATTTTTTCTTACTATTTATCATTCGTATAGCTTTGTAACCCTTCTTTTCCAGCAGCGATGCCAAGTGAAATGGCCACCATGATCACTGGAAGACCTACTCATAAATAAAGGAAGGAAATCGAAACACTTTACTGCATGACAACACCAGACTTGGCGATCAGAAAGCATGGTTACAGTTACCAGTGCATGTTTACTTACCCCATGAGATGACGTGATACGTGTACATTTTGGTGTTAATGTTGTAAACTTTCACAACGAAGAAGTAGAGATAAATTCCCTCGATCAGCATCCAACAGAAAGCGGCCATCAAGAAATACTGCATCAGAGCTGCTATTGTAACACAGGCAGCCTGTGGAAAGGACGAGTTTTCGTATAATTCTTAACGTGCTTCTTTCGAGAAGATATTTACGGTGCAAAGAGTAAATTCATTCTACGGATAGAAGGAAAGGTTACTGACTTTGTTTTCTGTGGCGTTTATTCCAGCGAGGAAGATGATCTGTCCAGCCCCAAGGGACATAGAAACACTCATTCGAATTTGAGAGAGAGGTTTACAAACATCTCTGGTAAAATAATATTAAAAAGAAGAAGAATGAATGAGACAAAAGCAACAACACACAGAAAAATATGGCAAAAAAATTAACTAAATCTTGACAGCGAAGGAAAGAAGAAAGTCAGTAAATAGCTCCAAAGAGGACAAAAAAAAAGAAAATATTACGAAGAAAATGTCTAAAGCCTAAAAAATTCATAAAAAGTGAAATCATAAGTTGTTCAAAAGTTCGTGATGGGGCATGAAATGTAGCTTGAGTTTGTGAATTATCCGACATGACTGTTCTTGTTTGCATGGAGATTGGCATTGAGATCTCTTTTCTCACCAGCCTTGTTGAGGGGAGTTAAGAATCTACCTCATTATTAATCAAGTGCATTACTTACGTGAGGCAAGAATAAAGTATTAATGTTAAAAGTATCCCGATTATGGAAAGGCTCAGTCCAACGTAGGTGGCAACTTTCAGAATGGTTTCGTCCTCCTCGGTGAGCTGTGTCAAGAAAAGAAAAATTAAAGGACAACGTTGAGTTAGTTCATTGAGCCCATAAAACTATTAAGTAAGGCAAAAATAACTTTATTACCTTTGTGCTACCGTCGTAGTCCATTAAGACGGCAAAATGCGTCAAATGATTGCAACTGCAAACTGTTTCTTCTGAGTTACTTTTTGATGTAATTACATGACAACCTTCCTCTGAAAAGCTGTCACACATGAATAAAAAAGTAAAGTTAAAAAAAAATTATTCATTGTTTGGGGAAGAGGTGATGTTTGACAATTTTGCGCCAAGATTTTCTTCTATTGTAGTTATAGTTGCGAGAACATTTCAATCAGACTTCCCCTCTCTAAAAACGACAACATGTTGGCTTCCAGGAAAGTGTTCATCTGCGCAAAAGCATCTGAAAAAGTTCATTCATTCTCCTCCATACTAAATTTAATTTAAGAAGGAATAAGTACCATACAATATATAATATATATAATATATAATAATATATTGTAGTTTTTTACTTTTTGCTGAGGCCACTCCAAAACATACAGCGCTTCTCTGCCGTCAAGACCTGAAAATAGATTTTATCTTGTCAGAATAAATCAAAACAACGCATAGAAACTAATTTTCATGTTACCTTTAGGTTTCTGAACTGTAGGATGACATTTTCTCGCAATTTCTCTGGCTTGGGGTTCATAGTTACGGCCATTATCCTGGAGTTGATATACCTATGAAGAAATTGTATTTAAAAATGGACCAGAACCAAGGAAGCAATATTACATATTTTTTGTAGATTCAGGCCAATTTTTCATGAAGGTGGAATGGTCAGAGACAAGCAGGGAGTCTTCCAACCCTAGTTAGGGTTTTTGGAAAGTTTCTCAGTTCAGTTTAGTTGAACTTAGATCTTATGTGTATCCGTGTTATGTGTTTTTTGAGGTAAACGACATGGAGTAATATGAAAATAACGGCACCTTTGGTTGTCTGTTTCACTCTTCATGGCTTGGTCTGTCAGAAGTAGGTCATGCAAATCCTTGTACACACATGCAACCACCATTGATCCTTTAAACCCCAAGGATCAGCAAAAAAATTTTATCAAACAACAACAAAAAAAGCACACAAAATTGAAATTTTTATCAGGCTCTGAGGTATGTGATATTTTAGGGAGGGCGAGTGATTAAAGAAGATAGACTATGTAAACTAAGGAAGCGCCTTTACATGAGGCTTTATTTCGACACAGAAATTTCTATCGGAGAAACCAAGGTAATACTAAAAGTAAAGTTATTACAATAGTTAATACGAACCATTTTCCTCAAAAGTTGAAGAAGCGATATCGATTCTTGCTCGCCATCGTTGTTCCTCAAAGTTGAAGCCACTTGCATTCTGGCGATAGGCTTTTTGAATGACCAAAACTGTCGAAAAGAAAAATTACAATTGAAAGCACCCTCGGTGAAATTTACAATAGCACACCTACACAAACTTCCATTTTGTGGTGTACACAAATATTTCATAATCTTATGGGTTGAAAGTGTATTGTATGTATCGTATTTGCCCTTCCACGACTATTCGACAAATTCAACCATTTTATAAAGTTTTTTCAATGTAAGACTGATAAAAAAGTGAGTAATTCTGCACGGACTAAAATTGTGAAAACTCAATTCGTTCCTCGAACCGTTTCGTTGGAAAACTATAGAGTTCATTAGAGAATTTTGAAGCGTACGGTTAAAAATCTTGCATTTATGTACATCACAGACGATAGGCCAATTTTGAGCTCAGTGTACGGTATGAAGTAAGTGGAAAGCATTTCTAAGATTTGACAATTTTATTTAGTAAAGTGTTACTCACCAACCTATTATTTAAGAAAAGTTTCAATATACAGATCGAGAAGAAGGGTTTCACAATTTGAAGGATTCCTATTCTCTCTTGTTGATTGTTTAAGAAAACGTTCAATTTCCTTCTCCACCGCGAAAAATCAAAGTATCAAACAAATTGAAAAAAAACACAGATGAATCGATGACATCCAGCAATAACATTCTGATACGTTGGGCTAATAGCTGAGTTCTTACACCATCTAGCCATAGGAAATTAGACAGCTCAGTGGGACAGTCAGCAAGTCAGTAAGTAACAGAGGAATAGACTTTGAAACTAAACAGGACTGAAGGCCGCAAACTCACCAATTTTGGGGGAAACGATCCTTTCTGAAGGCCTCATTCCTCTCAGGTGTCGGTTGCCGTAATTAAGAGCAAATTTCTCGACGGCCTCTGCCACCTCAAAGATGGATTTTTTCAGTGTTTTAACCTCTTCTATGCCGGCCTTGTCTTTTGTGACGTTCTTGATTTTTAAGGTGAAATCTTCAAACACAGTAACAGCCTCCTACAATTACGTAAAATATTTCCAGGTCATTGAACAGCCAGTCTCATATATAAAATTTATACTAAGGCCCCAAATGGTGTCCAGGGTATTCATCGGCTGGAGAACTCCTTTAGGGGCCTGGATTATTTTTTAAGCTTCAACATTTTTACTTCATATGGCTCGATGGTGGTTTATCCTTAAAGATCAGATATTTACCTTTTTATCGTTTAAAAACATATACCAAAGTTAAAAAGCCTTTAAGTCATATAAAATTAGATACCTGTAGGGAAGTCCTTCTGGTAATATTTATTCCGCCAAATTTTGAAACATACTCCTTTGCCTAAAATGAAAAATATTGTCTCTCACGTTTGTAAGCAGAGGAGATCCTGAAAAACGATATGTATAAAAACGGTAAATGACTAGAAAACATACAAGCTGCTCAACTGGTGACGGCGATGGCGATGGCGATGGCGATGGCGACGGCGACGGCGACGGCGACGGCGACGGCGACGGCGACGGGGATGACGACGACGATGGCGATGGTGATGGTGAGGTTGCAAGGGCTACTCTGGATGATAGTGAGGGCGACGAAGGTACTGAAGGTATTGAGGAGTCTTTAAAGAAAAATGTTAATCAAGACCACATCATACAAAAAATTGCCTTACTATTACACTGCGAGGGCAAAACTGCGGACAGAAAGGGGAGTAAAAAAATGGCCGCCAATAACGTTCAAAACTCTTAAACGCACTCGATTTTTATCAGTAATACAGAAAGCTCTTATTGTTTCCTCAACATTTTATTTGTCGTTGGCACACGTCTTGTGTGATTGTTGCTTAGATACGGCTGTAGGATGTTTTTCGAAAACTAGACCCCATAATACTAGAGAATGAAATATATTCTGTAGACTTTTCCCTAATAGCTTAAAAAGCTGTAACACAATATTTCAATATCCTGTTCTGCGTTTTCTTGAATAATATTCCACTAATCAAATATCCATTTTGCCTCTTAAGACTTCACTTTACTACGTGTCGTTTCCTCGGAAACAATCTGCATTTTGTCACGTTTTCGAAGCGCATTATCTAACACCACTGAAAAATAATGAATTCTCTACACAATTCTGGACTTAAAGTTATTCTCTTTTCCTGTTTCAAGACTGAAAGGGTTAAGAACCCAAAGTGTCCCATTTCAACCCACCTAGCCAAAATAATAACTCTTGCATGCTACGCATGCCTATGTTTATCTTTTCGGTGAGCAGAACATCAAATATATTCCACCTCAGTATTGACTATCTTTTAGACAAGAAAATGTATCTACACCCTCTGGTGATGTATGAGAACTGAGGTAATCCTTACTAACCTCGTTATAGAGTAGTGGTTACTAAGTCGATCGAAATGCCCGCCATATTCGGATTAGATGCACGATGGTCAGTTTATTATGCTCACTGCACATTTCGCATTGCATTAAAATTAGCCCCTACAACTTTACAGTTCAAATGATCAGACATTAAAATAGAATACAGTAAACTTAAAATTGATTCCCCTATGCGAAGAACAAATAAGTCTGCAAGTCTGTTGTATTTGTTTTAGAAAACGATAATTGGCATGGTTCTTAACCGACATGAGTCACAAGCTCTTCACAAAAAGATAACGCTCTTCACATCATCACGCGCTATCATCCAACAAAGCAATTGGACTGATAATTCTTTGCAATTGGTATTCACCATCAGTTTCGTAACTGTTGTTGTTCGTAAAAGTGATAGTAACAGAACCATCTGCAGCTTTCCCATGTTTACAAGGTTAAAGTTAGACATGTATATCGTGAAAACGTTCATTGGGATTGTTTCAAACATATTTTGATTTACGCAAAGGTAAGTGTAAACTTGATTCTGACTGTCTGAGGGTTTTTATAACTTCTCTCGTGAGTACCACAAACGTTAGCAAATAATGTTTTTATTGCCCTTCAGCGCTCCTAGTGCCTTTGAGTTTACTCAAAATAACATTAAAAAAAAAAAAAAACAACAACAACAACAACAACATATCAACTCACTCTCGGGGATCTCACAAATATAAGCGTGCTGTTTTTTCCCACTTGTACCATTATCACTTCCAAATACGCCCTGTTCGCCATTACGGAACCTCTTGTACATGAAAGCCGCGTCGTGTTCACCGCTTGGCTCCCCTTGTCCCCATTTGGAAATAGTCAGCGGTCTTCCACTCACCCAGGTCCAATTCCTGGCCCTTTTTTTTAAACCAATTCTCCATTTATTTTCATAGTTCGTAGTGTTTCGCCTTTGAATTTCGTCATTAATCAAATTCCATTCTTCTTGGGTTTCAAAGGAAACTAGGTCCCCGCCTAGACTTGAGCAAGTGTCTCTGCTCCAGTACCAGGACTCTCCATCCACCGAAATTATGTACCAAGAGTTTTTAAAAGTTATATTTGGGCATTCTACATGATGATGAAGATGAAAACAAAAATACCAATTATCCTAATGATGATAAACAAAGTGATAATTATAATAGCAATGATAACATAAAAAGATTATAATCACAATCACAACAAAGGAAAAAAACGAATGAGACAGAAAACGTGACTCATTCACTAATGAATTCCTTTTTTTTTTACATCCTATGTATTTGTCTGATCAGTGTCAATAAATACCATACATCTTTCTTCACTACGGCGTCCGCCACACTTACCTGCTTTTGTGGATTAGTTAACTTCACATCAGCTAAGATTATTTGTGAATTCATATCATTTTGGTAGTCGAGTTTTTAAATATTAATTAGTTCCTCGTTGAGCTGACACCTCCCCCACTCCGCCCCCTACTCTTCCTCCTCTATCTAATCAGACTTAAAAAAAACGTAAAATTAAATGTGAATGTAGGTTCCCACAAATGTGCAACTGGAGATACGCAGTTAACTGTATGCAGTTGTTACGGGCAAAGAGCAAAACTTTAAAGTGCACGCAACAATCTCAAAAGATTATCTGGGTAACGATAATCAATAGGGACATAAAAATTAAAGATAAATTAATTAGGGTTAGCTCATGCAGTTTAGAATTTAAAGAAAGTCTTGCAATTAAAACAGGTTGTTCAAACCCGTGATGCCTCGTCCTTAAAGTGACATTTCCTAGGTTTCCCTGAATTCCTGAGGTTAAGTCTAACCATGACCTAAAAGCTACCAGCAATACCTTTCAGGTTATCGCTTACAATTCCGACAAGATTTTTCCGATAACCTTTCTCAAAAGAACTGCATTTATTATTTGTTTTTCTCAGAGGGCACGGTAAAGAATCCTGGAATCTTATTGGTACTTAACGCGGTCCGGGTTTTCCTATCTCTGCCCACGGGCACGGTATCGCTTGAGCGAGCCGCCGATTACATCTCTAGCTTTGTTGCTATTTTTCAAGAAATTTATTTCGTTTTGCCGGCTGGACAGTATTTTTAAGCAAATCGTTTTGGAGCAAATCAAGCCGATCGATAACTTATTAATTCTCACTTTCTCTCTCTCAGATAACTTTGTTTCCCTGCAAAAAAAATTGGTTTTGAGATGAATATTGGTAGCAAATATGTCATAAGATAGGTTAACGCGCTGCCTAAAAGCCGCTTGTAAATAACCTAAACCTTACTAGAAGTAACTCAGAAAGTTAAAACGTGAGGTATTTCTTCACAGTTGAATTCATTAATGGTAATTTCATTCATTATGTATCTGAATTCTCTCAAAAAATTTTTTCCTTGGAGAACAGTGAGCTAGGTCTTTTATACTTCAAATACGCTTTCGGTAAGTCTTTGCAGGTCCGTTCAAATTGGACATTGGTACCGTAAATTTCGCAACAGTAAACAAAGGAATTCAACGAGAAAAAGCTGCTTTAAAATTCCCCTTTTGATGAAAGACCAGAGTTGCACTCGCGATTGCAGCAAACAAACGAGGGAACTCCCACAACTTCAAAACATAGATTTAAATTTACTTAAAATTACTTTGCAGTTCAGTTTATTTGCCAAACCAGCGCCGTTGTCGTTGTTGATTTGTTTTAAAGGGTGCATGCGTTTTTTTGTTACGCGCTCTCTAATTGACAGGTGTCAAATTGTGACAGATACTTGTCAAAAAATGTTTCAAAGTTTGTTTGGAGGCCTCTTAAATTACCTTTTTCATTACCCAAATATAAATATTTCGGTGAGGCCTCTTTTTTATTTACATTTACTCAATCTGTTTCAACTACCATTTACTAGCTCAAAATTTGTTCAGTTCAAGGAAGGTTTTGCCGCTCTTACAACCCTAACTCATTAGGGCTCATATGGAAAACATTTAGTTAATTTCAAGAGGAAAAAACTGTTATTTATCAGCCAAGGTCGGTCCGTATTGGGAAAAACTGTGTAATTTATCTCCACTACCAGTGCTCAAGACCTTGGGCACAGTATTACTCAATACAGATCTTCCAGCCGGCGAATAACATATTTATCACTGACTTGTACGAGAAACTCACACCCGGACACACAAAAATAAAAGTAATTCGATATGTTATGCTCAAAACAAAAAGCCTACACTCACTTAATTTTTGAAACACGTATTACGGAAATTTCATGGGCAGTGTGTTCAACTACTTATGCACGCCTAAAAGTTCATTCATAGCTCACACGTTCAAGTTAGGTGAGCAGAGTATATTCTGTGAACTATGTTTTTTTTTACTTTTAAGAAGCAAGAGCAATTTTCATGACACAAGTGCAAGACTGCTAATGTTTCAGCACATTATATACTTTATGGTTAGAATGTGATCTTACCTCCGGGCATCTCGCAAATGTAGGCATCTCCTTTATTATTCCGAGGGATACCATTAAAGAGGCTTCCGTTCATGGATATTTCTGCCCTTTCGTCGTTCCCATTTGGCTCAGAATCTCGCCATTTCGAGATATTCAGTTGTTTTCCACTCTTCCATATCCAAACCCCGTCTTTCTTCTCCAAACCAATGAGCCACGCATTAGTAGTCGAAGTATTCCAAGTACCACGCTTTTGAATCTCATGATTGATAAACTGCCATTCTTCCTCAGTCTCGATGGAGACTAAATAACCTCCCAAGATTGAGCAGACTTCATTGTTAGGAAACCTGTAAATTTTGCTTTTCGAAAAAATGTAAGAGGAGTTTTTGAAACAGGTCGGTTGGCACTCTATAAGAAGAAAATAAATAAATAAACGAAAAATGTATACTGAAGATAGCAACACTGACTGAGCGATAATGATAAAGACGAGAAAGTATTTTTTATATCATTAATTTTAATAACAGACGATGGGCATCAAAACCCTCTACATCCCTGAAGCAAATATTAGAATCAGGCCAGGTTTTAAAAGTGGATCTTTGGGAGATCAGGGTAATAGCACCCTTATTCTTTGACTTTTTGTTTTGCTTTCCAACTCACGTTTTGAATCGCAATCCAATGTAATTTTAAAAGGAAGTCTATAACTCATTAATATGATAATTGGTCAGGTATTATCTTTTTTTCCCGTCTATTTAAAGGAACTTGAATATTAAATCGGAATGAAGCTGCCTCACCTGTCCCTGGCAATTTCATCAACAAACGAAGGATGACTGTAGAAGAGAAAATGGACAAATAAATTGATTGTTATCTCAAGAGTAACATTTGAAACAATGAAAAAGTTTATTAGATTTCGAGTAAGACGAGTACTAATGCATTTTATTTGCTACATGCCCTTTAACATCCATTCATGAATTTTATTACCTTCCTAGGGAGCTGACGGAGAAATTATAAAAAAATGCAGCATCTCCGCAATTCACCAACTAGCTGAACAAAACTTTTCACATGTGGAAACATTTTTAAGGATACGATAGACCCTCAGGAATGTCCTTTGGAAATTTTTTTTTAAACGGGTTATTCGCGCAACCGAACTATAAACGAATGAAAAGGATGTAAAATGTGCTATCCAGAGAAAAAAATGTTTCACATTTCAAGCGAATGAATCGGGTATCAAATCTGAGCGCTCAAATAAAACTTGCACAATTTGAATCTTGAGGGGTTGGTCTCCAAAATTTTGTGAGGATTTTTCCATGTTCTTGGGAGTTACAAAACTATGGATCAGCAGGCCGCGGAACCTGCGGAACCTCCAGAGCCCATATATTTTTTTTTAAAAGAAGAGCAATGGGTTGAGTATAAAGTTTGCTTTCGGGCATAAAGAAGAATAATTTAGAAGAGAAATATGTTCTAATTAACTATGACGTCCAACTTGGCGAGCAGTCAGCAGTCATCTACTCTGAGTTTTAATGACAAAACAACAATATGAAAGCTCTAAAGGTTTGGGTACCGCGATGTCTGAATAACGCCTCATCCGAACGCTCTACGGAAACCTACTTTGCACTATACGGAATCTAAACGGCTTTAGGAATCCAATTTATAAGAGATCCATGTCTGATTAAGAACTAAAAGTTTAATGAGGACATCTTTAAAGTCTGTTTTGTTTTGTTTTGTTTTAATTAACAGTGCCAAATATCCGCCACCTGACATTTTTTCTCTGTTTGGTTTGGCTAAATTTCACAGGACGTTCCAAAATGGATATTAATGTGTCACAAATGGAAAGTCAAGATATAATTAAGGTGGTACTAACCTAGCGAACAACATATACGAATGTGTCATTACGGGTGATTATTATTCAATTATTTTAAATTGTATGGAAAGAGAAAAATATTGAGAAACTAATAATAACGATAATGGTGATAATTGGCTTTAATAATTAGACAACAACTCGAGAGGACATATTAGGAGTTTGGTATGTTTCGTTATTAGAGTTCCGTAAGTTTAAATATCAAAATAAATGTTTTACAATAAAAAGTCCATTTCGACGGTTTCATAGCTACTGCAGAACAAACAGGAATAACTAGGGTCGTACTCACCCAGCATACAACATGTTACCGGGGTTTTGAACATTTTGCCGGATTCACTTCTATTTGATTCACACCGCTTGAGAGTTGCGGATTTGCGGCATCCTCATAAAAAGCCTTTCGTACGAGTTAGATTTTAATGCAAATCATGATCTCTGAACACATGTTCATGGCGTTAGTCTCCATTTTTTTTTCTGTCATAGACGGACCAATGGACAAAAAGCAGCTTGCACCTGATGTAGAGCATTGTTTTTCTAATACAATTGAAAAGCTTCACGTCATTAAAATACTTTTTGTAGTTCAAGTGCTGCAGAAGAAACAGCTAAAAAATATTTGATGGTAAGAACGGTAATTTCTTTATGAGCTCTGTTAAATGAAAGTGGTCCTAAACAAAATTCTGTTTTATCAACGGGCAGCTTAAGCTAGAATGCCATCTGTTCGTTATGCATAAATGGAAATTATTGTTATTTATTCATCTCGCTTATGACACGCTAATTACCTCGTATGCCTTTAAAACAACGGTGGCTAACGGCCAATTTTTAGTTTTCAGCCTACAAAACAACTCTCTCCTAGAAAAGCGTCATGCAGACCATCACTTTTGTTTCCAAATGTTTGAATCCCAACAATTTAGAACGAGCGGTGAGTCAAAAGCTCTTAGTGCGAGACGTTCTTGGGTCATAGTGATGTGCTCTGTGGGCGAGACATTCTACTCTCCCAGTATCTCTCCACGCTCATGGAATAATTGATTATTTATTCTGGAATATTCGCTCGTCTTAGCTGCAATGTATTCAGTCAATCGAAGCTTGAAACGTTTTTACCCATCGCATTTGAGCAGTTTAGAGAGAAAAGTGCTTGTATATTTCAGAATAATTTTTATTTTAACTTCTTCCGTTTTAATCGCACGCTTCGTCACCATGTTTATTTATAAATGGGTATGACGTAAACTAGACTATTATAAACTGTTAGCCACATTTACATAATTGACTCCTTCTCTCGCTTGTTGAAATTCCTCTGCAATGCTAAGTTCCGCTGTAGTGATATTTGAAAATCAGGCCCATCGAAATATTCTGCATTTCTATCGCTAAGCTTTTTCCTTTAAATTGTATACTCTGTGTAAAAGTTCTTTAATCGTTGTTCAATAATGTGTGCCGAACAGTTTATAATCTCTAGGTTTATGCCTTTTCCGGCTAACATTGCCCCAGTTTAATTCCAAATTAATCGATGTATATTCGATTTAAAATGATACTCCTAATTTTAGGAATGCGAAAAAAAATGGTTAAATGTAACTGATCCAAAAAAAGATCCAGTTACAAGGATTTTTTTTCTGTTCTTTCTAAATAAGTTGTTTACTTATTCAAACATTTACGAATTGATCTATTTATTCATTAAGCAACAACTTTGAATGTCAGCGTTAGCAGTTAAGACTATTAGTATTATTTGTTACGGTACAATTTAACAGACAAAAAGAGCATCATTTATCAACAGACCCATTTAATTTATTAAACAACTTGTAATATTCTTGCCAAGGAGCGACTCTTAAACAGTTAGAATAATTATCCTATAAAACTGATTGAAACCCACCGCAAACTACTCCTTTCCTCACTACTGACACAATCTGGAGGTTGTCTCCAAAGTAACTCGAGATTAACAATCTTCAACGGTTGCTCTCTCTCGGTATAGCTTTCTGAAAAGTCAGTCCCTCCCGACAACAAGTATTACTGCTGCACGACTGTGTCCTTATGTACAAAGTATTCTCGAAAATTCCGGACGCTTACAACACAACTATATTGGTAGTGTTACATCATAACTACGTAACCTAGTAAACTGCTCCAGAAAGTCCCTTGGTATGCATTTCCGCATGACTAGGCATTCTCGAAATTTCTAGAAACCTATAGTTTCAGTTATTATCCATAGCTTAATGTTTAAAGTAATGACAGTGTTTGGTGAGAAGTTTGTAAACTCACTAAGTGAAACGTCGAATATGAAATAATCATGCAGTAAGTGCAGAAAGTTAGCGCGCAAGAATCGAAAGATAAATACATTCAATTAAAGCTGCGTGCTAGAGTGCTTCTTAAAGAAAGACAATTCGTGATATCTTGGCTTAAATTCCCGCCTCGTCTGTAGTGGACTGTGGTCTTATTCGAAGGAAAGTCATCAAGATACTGAGCTATTAGAAATTTAAATTTATACATTGGTTTATTTCGATTAATCTTGCCTACAAATATACGATCGCCCCAAAAACAACCTTGTTATCGTAAAGAGCATACATAACAATTACAGCTAGTTGAATGCTTAAACAATAATGAAAAGAAAGAACTCTTTTTAGTTGCAGAGAGCAAGTCAGATCGATCGTAACCGACTTATTGCTGTTAACTAAGTGATTGTACTAGGTAATTGACTGTCATTTCCGGTTGGCTGGATCCAGTTATTTAAGTTAGGTGCGATTTCGATTCAAACTCAGCACAAGACAGCAATTCAATTGCCCATACATCCCCAACCTCATTTGGATTGACCTGTGGCTCTTCCTTGTGGAGTTGTTCTTTAAAGAAGATGGAAAAACGATGTTCATCTTTCTTTTGAATCGCTCTCTGATCTGCAGATAGACGAGCAACACGACATTCGGTTCTTAGCACATGTACTCGGATATCTATCGAAACTCTAAAACTTGATGATATGGAGTTAATTATCAGTTTGAAGTTTTTTTCTTACCTGAATGTTTCGCATGCAGTGTAGAGCGAAAATTAGGAAACCCTGCAGCATGAAAATGATTTCAAGATCATTAATTTTTGCAATATGCAAACAAATTAGTCAAATACCTATAACGATTTCAAGAAGGAAATAAAATTGCGTATCTTATAATTGAAAAAGAAGTCTTCCTTCTCTTGCATAGCTAACTGCATTTTTGTTTTCAAAACTCCAAACAATTATCATGTGATCATTGTAATGGTGTCTCACTTGGTTAGAAAGTAAAATAATGATAGAGATTGAATAATTTTGAGAGTTACCAGCGAATACTGACTTGAGCAGAGTTGAGTATGGTGAAGACGTAAACGAAAGCTTCATGTACAGGCGAGAGGAGACCGAATGCCACGTGACACCCAGTAGGGGAATCATCACCACGCATGCTTTGATGCCAATTCTAGGAGTTAAAGAGAAAACATTCCTTTATTTTCCTTAAAAAATGTATTTTCATTTTTAGATATCGTATGGCCTTACTGATTAAGGAATGAGGAAGGTTGGCGAATAGAGCCTGACTGGAGAAGATGAAAACCTCTTCCACTACTTTGTTTTCGTTTTGTGTTGTCAATTTTATTTGCTGAGAATGGTAGTTTTCCCCTGTTGGCTGCGACAAATTGGTTATCTCCTAATATCTCCAAATCTTCCTGCTCCTTTCATCTTGCTCGATATTTTTTTTTAGTTATTTTTGCGAGAAAAAAAGTCAATGTGAAACAATGAGAAAACATCAACAAGGAAGGGGTAGAATTTTTTTTCATACGAAAAGTATTTTTTTCATAGGAAAAGTTGGAGAATTTATGAAGCTGTCCTATGCCTGTGAATATATCAATGGGTAAAAATTGACCAGCATCCCCTCAAACAGCGGCTACGTCCAAAGTTTGTTGTGAGTAAATGGGAAAAGAAAAATGGTAAATGTTGTGCGGGGTCATATCATAAATTCTTAATTCGCTTTTAAAGAGCAGAGAAAGAATATTTGGCAGCAATTAGTATAGGTATACCAATCAAAATCACCAACACTAATCATAAACTCACAACTTCAATGAAAGCCACAAAGGCGACGAATAGTCGAGGAAAGTCAGCAACTGAACTCGAAGAAGTGAAAGAAAAAAAAGAAACACAAATTTTCAGCAAATGAAATGATACCGATTTCAAAATATGTACAAAAACAAAACAAAGAATTAAATGCAACGAAATAAAAGGAGAAGAGCACGAAGAAACCGTTGAATTTTTTCTCACTATTTATCACTCGTATAACTTTGTAAACATTTTTTCTTTTTTCCAGTAGCGATGCCAAGTGAAATGGCCACCATCATCACTGGAAGACCTACCCACAAAGAAAGGAAGAAAATCGAAACATTTCACTGCCTGACAATACCATTTTTGGCGATCCGTAGGCATGATTACAGTTTCCAGTGCAAATTGTGAAATAATAAACTTACCCCATGAGATGACGTGATACATGTACACTTTGGTGTTGATGTTGTAAAC